GGCAGGGACGTAAAGTGTGTGTGTTAGGGGGGCAAAGGCCCTTAGCTCTACATGCACGATTCTGATGTTATTGTGGTGCCAAAATCTGTCCACAGACACTAACAGACATAAACACCCGGCAGAGTACTCAAAACCCCCTCAGAGGTAGTTCCTACTCCAGTAGATGACACCAGGACCTCATTATGCTGTGATGATACACACAAAGACGGACACAGCGTCGCTATCATGGCTGGTAAAAATCCTATTAAAGGGTTTGCATGGCTCAAGACGCTGACCGTAAACCACAGCATACCCAGCTTCGAATCCAGGTGGGGTCCTTTGTTAGATGTCACTCCCCATCTCTCTCTCTTCTATACCCTGTCATCTCTAATTACTAGAGACCTTCTTGCGATGGGCCAAATCTGGCCACTGGCGTAAAGTTGGGGGGCCCCTTCCCCATTTCCTACCCCCCTTCCTTCCGACGGCCTTGCTCCGACCACCACACCCATCTTCGCAGTCGACGATGTCAACTACACATCTGTAAAGTTTTGTGATTGCACCTGGCACAGTTGTGACTAATTGTTTAGCTGCGAATGTATTTTAAAGATTTTGTAACTTTTTGTATTGCTGCTCAAGAAAGACGATTTGTTTACATACAAGAAAAATAAAGCAATGTTGATTATTTTCTTAATTAATTGTCTCTTTTTCTCTGAAAAGAATCCAAAATAACCGATAAGAGTATCGATAAAAAACCGAACTGATAAGGACAATTGATAAGAGTACTAGTATCGATCAAATCCTAACGATACCCATCCCTAGTTATGGCGCTATCGCAGTCACAAAACTCGGTCACACTCCCACAGACTCACAAGGTGAAAAGAATACCTGGATTGCTGCCGCGGCTGGAAAAAATGCATCAGAAAGCATTTTAAGTACTATAGAATCAGCGAAGAGAAGTATTATAAATGCTCATCAGCTGTTATATATTATATTTTTAAATAAACATTTATTTGTCTTTTTATTTATGAACTGTAGTGGAGGAGTAGAAGTACAAAGAGGTAGTACAGTACTTAATGTCTAAAGGTTTTAATGTTGCTCTAAAATAAAAGTCACAAAGCTGCGTAATACAGTTACAGTCCACTGGTGTTGACAATAACGTGGTGTAGAGGCGATGCCATAATATGGCCACGCATAAGTTGGACACCATTTAGTAGCCTGGAGTAAAGTATTGCATCTAATGTAAGTGAACAAAGGACACGTTGGCCCATGTGTTCGCTCGCCGCAGCTCACTTTAAGCCTTCGGGGGTTGGGGAGCCTTTGTCCGAGCACTGTACCCCGGGGGAGCGCAAACCCTAACCCTGAACCGGCCCCCTTGAAGAAGGGAGAGTCGGCCCCGAATGTCTCTGAAACTGCTTCTCTCACAGATACTGTACACTATGGACGAGAACACACACACATGCACATCTCGTTCCATAAACCTGAAATGGCAGTGCACATTTGTGCCGGTTGCTATTTACCCCTACCCTCATTATCGCTCTGTTTAGGGTACAAACATGAGCAGAAGCCTATACTGGTATCAGGATCTGAATGCAGATTAAATTGTCTCTAGGTTTGAAGTATACGTGTTTATACTCAAAGCACCATAAGGACATGGGGATCAAGTAACAGAGTTGACACTCAAAGCAGAGGCGGGATGTGTGACCTACAGAGGATACTCCTCTCAGTTTACTGTAGGACACTTCACCGGTAGGCTTTACAGATCAGGACAAACGGCTATGACATTGTGAACATCATCAAGTCAAAATTTAAATGTGTGCATTACTTTACTTGTCACAATACCTACTTGTTTGCCTGACAATACTCACATACATCAATGACCAAAAATGTGCAAAACTATGTCGTATGAATTAGCAAATAATAGTATGCAGGTAAACATGGTAAACATTGTATCTGTGAAACTTTAACATGTTAGCAGCAGCGGTAGATGTCATTGTGATGTATAGCTGGTGACAAAATGACTGTGGTCGTCATTGATTTGACCTTTTCATATTGTTTTATACCAGTTGCCACACAACAACGTGTTAACCACACCCCCAAATATTTGATTGCTTTTTGGGATGAGTTTTTGTTTAAATATATACAAAATATGTTGTGGATTGCAAACATACAATAAAACATCAACAGCGTAAAGTCCTTTTTAATTGTTATTATTTTTTGTTAATCTAAGCTGTATTTAAACAGATGAAATCTCTTTTGCGATGGCAATCTGGCCAAGAAAGCAGCAAAGTCTAACTTTTAAGCGCACTTGTTTTCCTACATACAATAAAACAAAAGTGAAATCCACGCATCAACAGAGGGGATTAAAAAGACACAGATAATGTATGATACATAAAGACAAAAAAAAGAACAAGACATGAAAAAATAGTTACCCGTCGTTGCGAGAACAGTTTGTGGTTAAAAGTTCTGATAAACACGCTATTTCGTGTTCAGCGTTATTGAGCTATATTTCCTGCTGTTGTCTTTTCTGTTTACTTCTGCAATAATATAATAAGGTTTTATGTGAAGTTAATAATGTGATGACAATAGGGGGCATCTTTGATGGAAGGATCGTTCCGGTTTCACGTGGTCAGAAAGCTGCTCATGTATCTTAATATTAGCTGTAGGAGCTGAGTGTAATGCTCCTGTACTTCAATTATGCCGAACTTTCAGCCTTATATAATTAAAACGGGTGAGTTCAACCCCCGTACGGTCGTCATGGACGGGGATATTGGCTATAGAGGCCAAAACCCCTTTTTGTACCAGATTGTAAAACATGTTTAAATTCTTCTGTTAAATTGTGTATTTCCACAAAGAGGGTCAATGGGGATTGACTTGCTTTTGGAGCCAGTCTCAAGTGGACACTTGAGGAACTCCAGTTTTTGGCACACAAAACGGTTTCAACACCAGAAGTGGCCGCGTGGTTTGCACGAGGACCCATTCAGAAAATTTTTAAAAAAAACGCACCATAGCGCTACTAGACGTGAAAAATGTCACATGATACATGATGCCATCGACTGTATATAAGAAGTGGACGCAGTAATTGTGACGTCACCCATTGGTTTGTGGACTGCAGTTTTGGATTACGGCCGTTGCCATGTTGGGTTTTTTTTTCGCAACGAACGAATGGAAGTTACCGTATTTGGAATGTGGAGGAGTGACGTAGAGACCCCGTATAAAACTCTGGCAGTGACCTGTCAATCACAGCAAGCCCGCCCTAAAGCACACTCCTATTTATGGTCTATTTACTCTAAATGGACCATAATTTAATAAATGAACACCGTGCTGCATTGAGGAACACTTGAAACTATAGATTGAGACTAAACTCATGTTTACAATGTTTACTGAGGTAATAAATCAAGAGAGAAGTAGAGTCATTTTCTCATAGACTTCTATACAATCAGAGGAGTCGCCCCCTGCTGGTCAGTAGAGAGAATGAAAGTTTTCGTCTGATACCTTTAATTATGTCTACTAAATGTACATTTTCATATTTACCACATCCAAAAATATCAATATTAAATCCATATATATGTACATTTCTTTGCTCTGGCCTTAGAAGACTGGTCACAAGTCACAAAATAAGTCATGGAACATTTGTATTTTTTAGTACTCATAAACCAGGAGGACATTTTGAGTATGATCTCGGTGATCAACCAGGTGAAAGGCCCGGTAGTCTGTCTATTTGCAGAACTAAAGCTCATTCTCCTTCGACAATAAGGAAGCAAATATGTTATTTCAGAAATAAGCCCTGTTGCAAACAAACCTGTATGATACTCACACATTTTGTTCAGGGAGATAATCTTCACAAATGAACAGCACTTTTATGATTTCTGAACTACACAACGGTCACATGACTTCAAGTCACCACCACTAAGCTAAAGGTGGACTAGAGTTCTAGCATTTACCCACTTGTTAACTCCCGCCTTTTTTTTTTTTTTAGGCAATGGTTCAAAACCCACGAGTGCGGTACTTATTGTCGTATATGATGTCGTAGAACACAAAGTTAAAATCTCTTAAGCTCTTGTTAACCACAGATCTTACTTCAAAGATCTAACCCTTCCAAAAACCCCAATGACTTCGACACCTGAGAACCCGAAGTGCAAAAATGCTGACTCATTTCCTGGTTTTAAGGACTCGGTCCTGCTCCTCTCTGTACTAGTCTAGTGATGAAGATCTGTCATGGATCTCTAAGTATAAAGTTGAACCGCTTCGTACAGTCGGAATGGAAGGATTTGTCGGACAAATTCCTCAAGTAGTCACAAATACACTTCATGCCTCTTGTTAGACTAATATTTATTTGTCATGTTACCTCATGGATGACGTCATCAGTTCAGTCAGGTGTTGGGATAAATAATGATCTTACATAATCAATCAATGGGAAGAATGTGGTTGAAACTTGTTAGTTGATTAGGTGTTTACCATACAGATATTTTCCAAATTGAATAGTCATTTAAAAGTTCAGACTCAGGGTTATTAAAGAATATATATATATATATATATATATATATATATATATATATATATATATATATATATATATATATATATTTCAATAAACTCTGACTTTAGCCCCGTTTATGTCTTTTGACATCTGTATCACCACATTAATTACTTACTGACATTTATATTTTATGAATATGTTGCACACTGGATTTAAAAAATAATTATTTTTTTTACCTTAGTACAGCTGAAGATAGACAAGCAGCAAAAAGGCTACGAGTCGGAACCCCTCGACTTGACTGTATCTGTAAAATCTTCCTTCTTATCAAAATATTAAAATATAAACAGCAAAAATAGTTAATTTATAATGTGTGTCGCACAGCAAAGATGAACCTGATCCCATTCTGCGCTTTAGGTGTTGGCTTGTGTTTGGACAGCACCATCTAGTGGATCCAAGAGGGAAACGCATGCAGTCAGAGCGCTACACATCAGTGCACCTCCACACACAGGCTTTATGGGTGAATGAAGCATGGAAGTCACAATGGTCAGGGATTAGAAGGCATTTATTGTCAACAATCAGTGTTTTCTTAACACAAAGCTTCAGCAGCGATTCACTAATACTGGCTCTGGTTCAAACGTTGGGAGTGATGGCGGCGCTTCACCGACAGTGCAGATAAATCACATGGCTGCTCCGTTCACAAATAATACGGATTTATTACACAAGATGCAGATATGACCAAACAAGGAACACAAGTCTTCCATTATAGAGGATATATTTTTTGTCAAAAGGTCATTTGAAAATCACACATTGCAGAGAATTAAAAATGATTTTAAAGCGTAGGGAAAATATGATTTTTCCTCAGTTAGGCTGACATTTTGTCTCCAAAGCTGTTGCCTATATGGCTGATTTTGCCATATAGTCTATTGACAGTTCCGATAAAAGCAACTTTTAGTCTATTGACAGTTCCGATAAAAGCAACTTTTGGTCTATATAGACAATTGCTATAAAAGCAACTTTTGGTCTACATATAGTTGCTATAAAAGCAACTTCTGATCTATAGATAGTTGCTATAAAAGCAACTTTTGGTCTATATATAGTCCTGATAAATGCAACTTTTGATCGACAGACATTTTATGCTTGTGCAGGTTTGAATGTTGATAAAAGTCAGCAGTGTGTCTGATATCATGCAGGTTGTTGACAATGGGTCTTCACGACAGTGTTAAGAGAAATCATAGGCTGCCTGTGTGCTGGAGATAATTTCATGATTGTGCCTAATCAGTTGAGTCTGTCTGTATGTTTCCTTACTAATGTCTCTCACGTGATTATTAAGATGACGACATATTGGTAATATCAATACTAAGATGATTGTTCATCAGAACCATTGGTATTAATATGCTTGATTCATTGAATTCTAAAAATAGAAGTGTTGCATCTCCTGTCAGGGTGGGTCATCGATGCTCTGCGTGAAGTGTTCCCCGGAGTACAGGCCGTAGTGCACGGTGTCTTTCTGGGCTGCAGCCCAGGCCATCTGCAGGCTGGAGAAGCGAGCGGCCCAGTGGCCCCGAGGGTCCACAGTCACCACCCCGCCCAGCCCACCAACTCTGGACTTCATGTAGGCCAGGCCTAAATCACTGGCGGCCTCCACCGACTGACCTGAGAACAGAGGAGAGAAGAAATAATGAGGTTATTGTTTAGGATGAAGTGTTCATCCAGAAGTCAGTGCAACATGAAGAACAAATCACCTTCTCCGTGACACCATGTCCCACTGCAGAAATACTCTGTGTGTGTGTGTGTGTGTGTGTGTGTGTTACCGTGTTCCATGTGGAACAGGATGAGTCTGGCTAGAGTAACCTTCATGATGGCTTCTCCGTGGCCTGTAGTTGACACTGCTCCCACCTGGTTGTCAGCATAACCTCCACTGCCTGCAGCCAGTGACATTTCAAAAATAAAATAAAATAATTGAATTTCAAGTTTTTTACTTTTAGCTTCATTGCATCGTGTGACTTTAAGGCGGGTGTGGAAAAAAAAAACAAAACTGTCAGCTAGAAATGGAAACGTATTGTGATCAATTGGGTGAATAGGACAAATTAATAAAGTTTATTTACAACTTTTTTTCCCTCTAAAATAATTTGCAAATGTGAAGGTGTAAGAAATAAAGTAGACGACGGCACAGTTTAACAGTTTAATGCCTAAACCCTTCTTTGCAAAGGACGACAGAGCGGCAGTTATTAAAAGGATGCAATTGCACATCTGGGTCACTAGATGGGAGAGTAATGCTTCAGCTGCTGTTCTTCTGAAATACATTGTGGGGGCATTAACAAAGGTTTGTTAGCTTTAACACTTATTCTACAGCTATAATTCAATCTGGCCTCAATATTCTAATTTCCCATACTGAAGTTTGTTTGGAATGCTGCCATTGTTATAGAAAAGCAGCAGCAGTAGACGTCTACTTCACAGCTTATAGCACACTGAGGTTCACGCAACGGACAGAAGATGATGTAGCCACAAATAGATACATGTTAAAAAGAGTTGTGTCTTTCTCTTACGTGCTTCCAAAACAAAAGCTAAAAATCTCTACGACACGAAGCGGAACACAGAATGAAGGCTCCTTGTACGTGTGGGTCAGAGTGCCCCCTGACACACACAGTCTAATCACTCTTTCACTGATAGTGACAGATTAGACAGGCCTGTAGCGGCCAAAATCCACTCGCTGCTGTTTACCAAACCTCAGTGTTACACAACCCATGTGTACTCGTCTTCTCAAAAGTCGCTCTGGAGTCTGGCAACAGTAGGGTTATGAGTGTGAGCCAGTCGGCACGGTGTCTCCGACATCACTTGTATAAATTGGTCTGATCACACTGGTCGTCACTTGGAAGCCCCTTTTGATCCAAAAGGGGGCAGGAACGTGCATTTCATTATTTTTCTACAAAAGAATCAAAGGTTGCCCCGTGCAACGGGTGTCAGCATTGTTGGGCAGCGTGTTGCTAGCAAACACAGAGCTCGTGGTGGGCTGTTAACAGAGCTCTCTCTCTCTCTCTCTCATATGTAAGGACTGACCTATGCAGGGCGTGTCGCCCACCCGTCCTTCCATCTTGTTCAGCATCCCCCCGGTGGAGGTCGCACAGGCTATGTTGCCCTCGCTGTCGACTGCCACGGCTCCGACCGTGCCCATCTTCCCCCTACACAACAACACATACGGGAACAGAAGAATCAACTCTGACTGACTTCTTCCTCTTTTCTCCCCGTTAAAGGTTATTTTTGGGGGAGTTCTCCCTGAACCGATGTGAGGGTCCTGGGACAAAGGATGTGTACTGATTGTAAAGCCCTCTGAGGCAAATTTGTGATTTTGGGCTATACAAAATAAATTGAATTGACCAAGTTAGAACTAGTTAAAAACTCCTTTTTTCTTGATTTGCTCGGCCTTTCTTCTAGTTTTTTCCTCCTCTCTGCTTGTAGGCTTAAAAAGCAGCTCTGATATGTTTAGAGCTTGGCAGGGAGTTGCAGCAATAACAATGAATTCCAATGATGACCGAGAGTCAAAGCAAAACAATAAATAAAAAAAGAAACCTGTGCAAACATCCATAGAAGCTCGTCAAACTACGACGGCTGCAAAATCAAAATTGCCATTGTTGATTCGGGAGCTCGTGTGCTCCAAAGATTCCTCACTTTCCAATAAATATTCACTCAAGAGGTTGTGAGGTATGAGGAGTGTATTTAGTTACGTCCAGGGGAATCTGTGGGGGCTTTTAGCTCAGCCCCCACCCCCGCCTCGATTGGGAAAACCTGCCATCATTGAGGATGTTCCAGTCCCTTAAATGTGCCTCTGAGGAGACGAGGAGAGAGGAGTTTCCAGCGAGGAACCCCAGGTGTATCCTATCCTAGTTTCTTCAATCACAATCTGCTCAGTATTTGGTCAGCTGGTCTGAAGAGACAGTTAAAGGATTGATTGCTGTGCAGTGTTTTTTGAAATGACTTGCAGTACTAATCAACAGCAGAGAAGGCGATTGTGCAGCAGGGCTGGTTTGAGTTTCTATCAACGTCTGGACGTGTTTTATGCCGAGTCACCGCTGGAATCACTTGCGACTGCTGTGAATCCAAAAAACGCTCCGTCAACAAACAAAGAGGTCACACGTGTTTCGTCTCACATTTGGCACTCCACGGGGTCGGCGTCGAGTGCCAGGTTCTTTGTCCAGTGCATGCGGGAGTACTCGGTGATGAGGGACTCGGGGGGCACCTCGGGGACACCCATGGACCGGGCGAACTGATTGGCCCCCTCTGACGTCAGACACACATGACTCGTCTGAAATAGAGTATCAAAATGTCCCTCCATGAAACACTTCTAGAAACTATTACAGAAGCTATTTGTTCTTGGAAAGCATGAGGTGTGTTTCAAGGTCACTTTTTAAACTGATACTTTTTAAACTGATGAATTGCATGTTTTCTCTGTCATCCCAGATTTAAATGTACGCACCTTGTACATAACCAGTCTTGCTAGCTGGATGGGGTTGGCTATGTTGCGGACAGCAGACACGGCACCACTGCCCAGTGCTTTCCCAGCCATCACAAAGGCATCCATCTCCACCTCCCCTTTGGCGTTCAGCACCGACCCACACCCTGGAAGTTAAGAGACGATTTGAAAGGGTCCAGCCTCTGGGGACAAAGAATCTCTTGTGCACAGAGGTGACATTTGGCCTATAGCTAGAGCTGCAGGACAGCTCATGAAGTATCTAAGATGTAGAAGCGTTCAAGAGTATGTGATCCAGTTGGGTCTAGTATAATTGTTGCATTGTCTGGCTATGGAGAGACTTACATACATAGTTGAAGGGAAAGTTAAAGGGCTCATTCAGGAAAATTCTGGAAGGGGAAAGATTTTGCTCAAGCTTTGTAATTAACTACTATTATTTTTGTCTATATATACTATATTTATCTACAGTCAGGGCCATAAGTATTTGGACTGTGACACAATTTTTGCCTCTTTATACGACTCCAATGGATTTCAAACAAAGCAGTCAATATGTGGTTGAAGTGTAGACTTTCAGCTTTATGGATAAAACAAAAATATTACATGAACCGTTATGGAATTATGGCCATTTTTATACAGCCCCCCACATTTTCAGAGGCTCAAAAGTAATTGGACAATTGTCTGACAAACGGTTTCATGGCCAGGTGTGGCCTATTCTGTCACTATTTCATGACAAATGATGCTGACAATAGGATTCAAAATGTTAAGTTAGCATTTGGTAGCTGGTCCTCTCAGCATGCGGACCAAAAAGGTGTCGATGCAAGTGAAGGAGGCCATTATTAGGCTGAAAACACTAAACAAACCTATCAGTCAGATAGCAGAAACATTAGGATTGACCAAATCCTACCAAAACAGTTTGGTACATTTTTAAAAAGAAGGAATGCACTGGCAAGCTAACCAACACCAAAAAGCCCTGAAGACCACAGAAGACATCTAAAGTGGTTGGTTGCAGAATTCTTACCTTGGTGAAGAAAAACCAATGATGGTGATGTTTATGGAGACTTCAGCCAGTCATTGACTGCAAAGGATTTTCCTCCAAGTATTAAAAATAATGATTCTATTCACAATTATGTTAGTTTGTCCAATTACTTTTGAGCCTCTGAAAATCGGGATAACTGTGTAGAACTGGCCGTAATTCCTAAACAGTTAATGTGATTCTTTTTGTTTTATCCATTGAATTAAAGCTGAAAGTCTACACTTCAACCACATGTTGACCGATTAGTTTCAAATCCATTGGAGTCGTGTAAAGAGACAAAATTAGAGAAATTGTGTCACAGTCCAAATACTTATGGCCCTGACTGTATATTTGACAACAATCTGTCCATTGCATTTAGATATTTCTTGTGTACAAGTTTTGCCTGATGGTGGTGCTACTTAGTTAATCCGTTGCTTAAACAGAAAAACACTCCTCAGAGATCAACTCTTGGCCATGAACAAGCCACCAATGTAAAAGTGCCTAAAAACACCAATAACAAATAGCCACAACTTGTTTTGGTTGGCCAATCATATTCCAAGCAGGCCGTAAAAAGGGAAGCAGCACGTCAACACTCTGCCACGTCAACAAATTGTCTGTCCAACAGTAACGACTTTTGTACATGATTCAACGTGTAAACAAAAATGTTTTTTAATGTATTGCTATGTGTTTTTCTTTTCATTCAAAAGTATAACAATTCATTATTATATAATATTATTATACACTTAAGCAATAGGATAGAATAGCACTCCATGAACATGAAAACTAATACAAAAAAAGATGAAACGTATCAAACAAGTGCAAAACGTTCAGACTTTGATACGAGGAAGAATAGCGACATTACGCTGCGTATGTTTCAAATGTTTTTACGTTACCTGCGTTGAAGGAGGGGTTGTTCTCCAGCTGGCTCACAGCCTCCACCACGGCATCCATGCTGCTGCCTCCTCCCCGGAGGATGCCGTACCCGGCTCGGGCCGCCAAGCACACCCCCGACATGGACTTTCCGGACCGCTCCTTCGGGATATGACCGGCCCCTCCGTGGACCACCACCACTGGAAACATGTCAATCACCTGGGGAGGATTGACATAATAGGATTGAGAAATAATTGAATTTATATTAAATTGTGTGGGACTATACGATGAAGCATGTTGTCTGGTGGCTGGTAGGGACTGTGATAAACAGCTGTTTAACAGAATCAATACCTCCGGATCAAGTGTCGCTCAGTGTCTCTTAACATAAGTGGAGATGCCCCGATCAAGTGGTTTTTCGCCGATAGTCAGTGTTGTAAACCTGTATCCTTTTACCTTGTTACTATCACCTATAGTGGTTATTTGCATAAAAACACAACTCAAATGATTAGAAAATGAATTATTGTATTTTCATTGAAACAGTTGCTTTGATTGAAATTATTGGCATCAACATAGTTTAAATGATGTATTATAAGCTACTTAAAGCTGATTCTGATTGCATTTTATTTACTGAATAACGGCGGATATAGTTCAAATGCATTCTGTAAATACGCTTTCCTTGCATTAGCTAAAAAGAAGAATAAAGCTAAATTCAGAGATAAACAGAAGTAATACATCGTCTCTTGTTCTGTCTCGCCCCTTCTAGTATTACTGAGCCTACATTGAGAGTATTATCCAGTACCCGGAAGTAAAAGTACTAATACCACACTGTTAAAATACTCCACCACAAGTTAAAGTCAAAGTATGTAAGTATTATTGGGAAAATGTACTTAACGTATCAAAAGTACAAGTACTCATTATGCATTACGATATTCCCTGTCAGTGTTTTACTATGATGCTTTTGGATTCATATGTGAATTAACGGGCGTGTTGCATTGTTCTGCTGTAGATGTGTAATGTTCGTATTTTAACTGCTACTGCTCAGAAAAGAAACACACTCCAAGTTTGGAGATACGTGGTTTTAACTTGCCTGGGTCCAGACCTCACAATCCACTGACTCTTCTGATACTCCGCAGGGTTTTCACTGGACAGGAGGGGGTTTGAAAAGTAAAGTAATCTGTAAAGTAATATAAATAAGACAAATGTAGGGGATTAAAAAGTGAAATATTTACCTCTGAGAAGTGTAGAAGAATAAATTAGCAAAATAAATGCTCAAGCAAAGTTTAAGTGCACTCAAATTTGTACTTAAGTATGGTCGGCCTACTTGAGTGCAAGCTTACATTCCACCTTTGGTAATGACGTCGATTGCACGGTAGATACAAAGAAAGGTGTTTGCATAAGCCAATAGCTTGTTTGCAATCACGTCACTATTATGACGCGCGGAATTTAGATGGAGGGCAAGAAGTGAAGAACCACAAAGAAGCCATGGGACCAATCCCATGCGGATTCCTAACCACTTTTCCTTGACCTCTATGGAAAACGTCATGGGGTCAAGGAAAGACGTGGAGGAGAATTCATGAGGAGACAACCGTGGTGTTTAGAGATTCCGACTCCACTTTCACTAAGCCACGTTGTAATCGTGATGTCACTGACGTAGGTCTGCCATGGCGAAACTACAACCAAGGAGGACTACAAGAACGGCAACTAAGACATGACATCATGAAATCTGTTATTCAATAGCATGCAGGCTATTTAAAGAGCTTCTTTTGTGACAGGCTGCTTCATACCATCCTGCTGCTGTCACACTGAGCGATCAACATGCTTCAGTAGAAATTGATATTTCACTCGTTTAATATCGATGAAACTGTTCGATATCAATATTTCCTTTGTGCAATAATGTAGATTCAACCGTTCGGTTATATTTTGCTTTTTAACAGATTAATAATATATCATAGGCCAAGCTTGTTTGGTTTTTACTGATGCTTCTTGTTATTGAGAATTTGCCCGCGGGCTGTCAGAGTGTTAACGGCATATTTGTGTTATGTACACAACTGCTCTGTAACGATGAGTATTAATGTGATATCTCATTAGAAAGCTACGTTTCTTGTAATTCGATTCATGCAAACCATTTCAAGATACAATAACAACAGCAGGTACAGTTAACGTCTCTGTCAAACAAGCACTCCAAAAATAGCCGATAAAATATCGCCGTGACTCACCGATTATGATCCATAACGTGCCCCTTGTGCATGCTAGTCCAGCAAAAACGGTCTTGCTAGGTGGCTAAGGGTCTACTCGATCGAATCCAGTAAAAGATTTAGTCCAAAACACATTAGTACGTCCATAAAGACCCACGGGGGGGCTGTTGCATCATTTCAAATTAGCCAGCAGATATGATAACTCGCGATAATATGGCATAATTTCACTTTCATGTAAACAGAGCGGAGATTTTGACCGCAAAATGGAGCCTGCATTCCGCCGGTTAGATTGACCCAATAGGAGCTTCTATAGCCCGGCCACAGTCTGGAACAGCCAACAAGAGTCCGCTTTGAAAGACAATGCCCGCCTCTCTTCTTTGGGTAATGCTCGAGCCAATCGCAACAGATCCTGTTCAAACTCAGGCTCCATATAGCCAATGAAATTACGAAGCCAAGGATATGCAGATTTATCAGATGGCCCCCTGGGAAAGTTTTCAAAACGGCAATTGAAACCGTGACTCAGGTACCTGGGACAGACTATCAAGACCAAAGTCTGGTTCATAAAAATCTTCAAGAATCTGTAGAAGTTGATAATAGTTAAATATGATACAGATAACCATACATCGACATAAATACATTTTAATTCTAATTTCGACAGTTAGTTTATCGTAGTATATGAATTGTGACGTGGTGACACGAGCCTCCTAAAAGCACTCTTAGTAAACCATGTGTAAAATATTAATTGTCTGTTGTATTGTTATCAAATTATAACTTATACCAGGTACCATGACTCCATGGTGACGTGGTATTGTCTTTTCAGGCCTGTAAGTCCCAGCCATAGATAGCTGCTGCCATCTGTTGGCCAAAACAAATCTAGGCAGAAATAAAATCCTTCTCTTTCACTGTGCTGAAAACGCCATAGCTCAATGCTAGTAGCACTTACAGTGATTCTGACTGATTGTGAAGAAACTTCAGAGTGTTGCCATTCAATCGAGACTAAAACCATACATGTACTCCCAATGGTTCAATAAGAGCTGTCAGTTTACTTTGGGTACGCGGTTGATAGGCGTTTTAGGCAAATTTTACAGGAGTGAGAAGAGGATAAAGGGCTCAACATGTCTGTGAGAGAGCCCGCAAACACTGATGATCTGACAGTGGGACAGAACTAAACCCTCACGGACTTTATGGGTGCGCGCCTCAAACATGTGGAGATGGGCCATAAACCTTTCAGGTCTTTATATCAAACCTGTGTCAGACAAACTTTGTTCTCATTTAAAAAGACAATCATTTTTTTACTAACCTTGTTCTAACTGTGAGAAGCGAGTTGTTATTTTTAAATGCGTCAACTTAAATTAATTAAGAGCCTATACAGCTTGAGTGACAGTTTACCTTGTAGTAGTCTCGCGCACGCCCCCGTGGGACGAAACTAAATTAAACAGGTGGCTGAAGCAGTTAATGGTAAAGTATAATAAACGAGAGCCGCTCAGTGAGCTGTATTTATATTGAACTGACGAGACACCGGTAGCAAAGGTTGAGCTTAAAGTCCACAAGCAAAACGGTTATAAACGGACATAATGGTGTTTAGTATCAGGGCTGAGCCAGCTAACGTCGTTACTGCGCACTGTCACCGAATAAAACAGACCTTACGTGACGTATAAAACGCAACAATTACCCCCCCCAAAAAAAAATAGCTTTATGATAATTCTCAGTGCACCTACTTACCCTGAAGATGGACGAGCAGTATTTGCTTGCAGCTTCAATCCTACCAGCATCCACGCGGCGACGAGTCGTAAAGCTCATGATAAGCAACATCTTTTCCGGGATATGAGTATTCAATTTCAAAATAAAATACAAATCTACACACACACTTAGGGGCGTTTACTGAGGAATGCTAAAATGAATGCTGTCCCCTTTTTCTACTAATTGAAAAATGATTTTAAGGAAGAGGTCAACCTTTTACTATGATTTAAGATATTCAGTATATTATTATTATTATTGTGTTATTGTTATTATTAGCTAGTTGTAGTATTAAAAGTAATAACAGTATGGTATGCTTTTTTAAACTCTATTTACACAGTACTGATTCTTTTTACAAAACAGGCCTCTTTTCCTTTTTTTTTACTACAAAGTCAAAATTGCCTAGTGTCTGTTTTATTTTGGATTGCTTGGGTTAATGCCAATCCAATAAGCACAGGATAGACTGAGAGTTAAACATCATATACAAGCAACAAGTTGATAATTAGGTGAACATAGTCTGTGAATATGTGACTTCAGGTATAACAGCACATGTCATCAAACTATTCCAACGTATGGAGACAGACTCATTGAAACATGCCAGATGCCTTTATAGTGGAACTACTGGTGCTGTGAAAGGGAACTGTTAAGCCTTCTTAAAAAGTGAGATGTATCTGGAAGAAAAAAGTCAATAATTAAAACTGAGACGTTTGCAGTTGAATGTGTAAAGCGTTTGGCACTCTCCCTGAACATTGCTACCCTAAAAAGGAACCTCCCGTGGGTAAAAGCTGTTGAACAAGTCAAGCATGCATGCTTTGTTGCATACCCGCAGTAATAGTCAGGGAATTGTTTGTCTGTTTGGCCATGTTATGAGAGGATGATAATGATGATGATGATGATGATGATGGGTTTCCTCTCAGCCTGTTCTCCAAACATGCTCCTGCAAGCCCTGGACTTGCAGCTGCACTGCTGCTCTCAGTCCCTCCCTTTCCCTCTGCTGCTGTTCAGTGAGCTGACCATGGTGCTGAAATAAAAACTCAAGATTTACTGTGAACTTACAGCGACACTGGTTGACCTGGACCTTACAGTGCAGTGTGTATGGGGCCTGTAGGGTCCTTTGAAGGGTCATACAAATGTGGCATATCTAGTTTTGGTACAAATGACCTTAATAACTGTATAAAATGTTGTTAATTTTTAAACCAAATCATGGTCTACAGTGAATCTTAAGCATTTCAGACCTCGGCTTTTTACCAAAACTGGATTTCTGGCTAAAAATAGTCCACTAAAGCACATTTGTTTCTAAATTTAGATGACTGTGACACAATTAATTATCTAGTCGAATACGGTTTGTGTGACTTACACGTGGCACATTCTTGTGTTTGTGTGTCAATTGTAATGTTTTGGGGAGCCCCCTCTCCACACAGCCGGTGATTAAAATGTTGCATGCTGACATACTCTAAATGTCACCCTATAGCCATGCATGTACATGGCTGTATGTGTGGTAAACCCCAGGCTCCATTCACTGTTGTTCAGCATGAGGAAGTATGTGTGTGTGGGGAGCTGGGAACTGCTGGAAGGATGGATAAGGAGGAAGGACAGAAGGAAGGGGTGGAGGGAGAGAGAGAGGGAGGGCGGGTGGGAGGAAAGAGAAAAGGAAAAAAAGGGGGGATGCGCGTCATCCTAACACGCAATGATTGGTGGGAGAGAGGAGGAGGAGGGGGAGTGTGCAAACACTCTCACTGCAAAGGATTTCATACAATACTAGAAAAGGGTTCTTCAGACTTGCATTCACTATATCTTTCATATTACTAATGCCACTTTATTTTGACCAACTTCATGTACTTCACTATGCCTACATCTCCATTTGATAATAGTTTTGAAGGATTTTTATTCCTTTTTTTAATCACTGTACACTCTGCATGTTTACTTTTTTGTTAATCGCAAAAATCTTGTTCTATCTTTGTTCTACTATTCTTCTATTGCTCCCTGACATACTGAAATAACGGTTAAAGGTTCTCTACACACTATATTCAGAGAATGGATATAGCATATAGCATCAAACTAATTTGAGAGTGCTGATAACGCCGTCCGGAATGATGGAGTCATCAGCGTAGCACCCGTCCTCCGGTTCCCCCATAAGCTCTGTCAGCACTGTTGCTGTTGTTTGACCTGTTAGGCATGGCCATGCTGAGACCCGTGTGGAGACTCAATATGTCTCCTAAAAATTACGTTCTGCCAAAATTAAAATGCATTCTCAATTACGTTTGACCAAAAACGTATTTTCTCCCTGATTACGTTTGTGTTTGACTTATTACATTGACTTATTACAAATACGTTTCTAATCAACATTTTAACACTTTAATATTTTTTCCCCTCTCCACCACCGCCTCTCCTTCTCCCTATTACGCGGTCAGAACACTACCACAACACGCCGCCTGTCTCCGGCAGAAATGCGCTCATCCACGCACGGGAACAGCACCGAGTTGTCGGCCGAGATACCACCAAAACACCCCGCCTGTCTCCAGCAGAAACGCGCTCATCCAGGCCGAGCAACGAGGAACATTACGCGGCTACAATACCTCCACAAAGGCCCGCGTGTAAAATCCGGGAGTAACCGTGACTCTCTTAAGGGTTAGGTTTGGGTGGGGACGTGGCTTCCTAGTGGAAGTTATGGTTAGGGTTAGGGTTAGGGCAGGGTTAGGGTTAGATGGATACAAATAAATAAAATATACCTCCATAACACCCCGCCACTCTCGGCTCATACCTCCCCAGCAACGAGGCACATCACCCGGCCACAATACCTCCAGAATGTCCCCCGGGTGAAATCCGGGACTTGGTTTTATGGTTCCGAGTGGCGGGCGCTCACCCGTTGGCGCCGGACGCGAGGTCTCCAGCCGCCCCCGCCATGAGGCACCCCATCGTCAGGTCTGTCAGCCCTCGGAACAGGCAACAACTTGTGGGTGGCGGGGGTAGAGGCGAGGCAGATCACAGAAAAATAATAAAGACTAGAGTATGGCAAAGATATGTTGATGAGAAACGTATTTGTAATACGTCAAACACAAACGTAATCAGGGAGAAAATACGTTTATGGTCAAACGTAATTGAGAATGCATTTTAGTTTTGGGGGAACGTCATTTTTAGGAGACAGGACTGATCCTTCCATGCATTAAGAAGAGACACTAGAAGTCAATAAGGTAAAACATTTAACTCATTGCCATGTAACTATCCCGTGGATTACATGTTTTCTGGAATTGTATGTTTATGCAATTGTTGTATACCTCATCAAACAGAAATCTGAACATTGGATAAAGCAAGGTTAAAAATGATTTTATTTTGTTGACATAGAATCAAGGTTTTTACAGAGGGGATTTTGGATATCTCTTTTTTCACTCCATGAATTTGAAAATACTTGTCAGCAGCCATACAACATTTTGACAAGTTTTTAGTAATAAAGTGTGGTAAATCAGGCTATGAATGGTATATAAACAAAACCCTGAGTAAAAACCTTCAGAATATCGAAGGAGACACTAGAGGTGAATGGGGGGGAAATGTAACTTATGATATCACCATGAAGCTTTCCCAGTTGATTACTTACACAAATACATTTTGTTATATTTAAATATGCAAATGAGACATTATCTAATACTAACTTTTCGTGAATTTAGGAGAAATCTAGATGCCAATAGACAAATAAACACCTAATTGTGTATTTTGGATGTTTAAAGAAGCAAAATAGTCCAAAATCTATTGTTGGTGTTGATGTTTGGTGATTTAAAAAGGAATAAATAGGCCTGAAGGGCTCTTCTTACCAAACGTCCATGAGTTATGGTCCTACAAACCCCACAATGCACCCTCAAGGAACCTTTTATTTCCTAAGTGTGCTTATAGGCTGGCGTGAGCGCGCATCTTAACGGTGAGTGGAGCCCCCCATTCTCAAATGAGAGCTGCGCGCTCCCGCCGCGGGAGAAGTGAACGCGCTTGAGGGGCTGCGGTCCCATTGACGGTTCCGTCTCCCTGACAGCAGCATCAGCATCAGCATCAGCGGCGGCGCTGCAAAACAAGAAGTCGCCGCCTCGCCTCGCAGCCACGCAGCCGGGCCACCGGACCGAGCGGAGACCTGAGCCGCCCTCAGAGGACCCCCCCCCCCCCCCCCACCCCCCACCCCACACCCACCTCTCTCTGCCTCGGCCTGAAGGAAGGAAGCGAGATCCCCCTCCCGTGTGCCATCATCCCGACCGACTGCCGGAGATATGGGCTCCCCGTAATACGGAGGTGGCGGAGGGGAGAGGCGGGCGGGCTGGCGGTGGGAGGGGGGTGGGGGGAGAAGACAGCGGAGCAGCGAGAGGGAGAAAGAGAGGCTGAAAGCGGCAACCGGGAACCGAAGCGCTACCACCACCGCCGCCGCTGCTGCCACCGTCACCGCTGCTACTACTGCCGCAGCTAGCACCGACAGGGCTGCTGCCACCGCCGCCGCCGCCCTGGGTGCCCCCCGTCGCCGCCATGGGAACTCCGCATCAGTCGCTCCAACCGCCGCTTTGTCCGTGGACCATGTCGTGATCCGTGGGCTCCGCCAGCGGGTTTTCTATCCGTGATCCCGACCGAGGCGAGGAGGGGGAGGAGGAGGAGGAAGAGGAGGAGAAGGAGAGAGGGAGGGAGGGAAGGTGGTGGTGGTGGTGGAGAAGATGTTCGCCTCGGTGGGCCCTCGGGGCGGCCCGCGCCCACTGGTCGCCCCGGCCATCCCGGAGCCAGACCTGAGCCATCTGACGGAGGAGGAGAGGAAGATCATCATGGCTGTGCTGGCTCGGCAACGGGAGGAGGAGGCGAAGGAGGAAGCCATGATAAAGTAAGGTGGAGAGAGAGGGGTAGTGTGTGTGTGTCTGTGTGTGCGAGTGTGTGTGAGAGAGAGAGAGAGAGAGAGAGAGAGAGAGAGAGAGAGAGAGAGAGAGAGAGACTGGGCCTGAGCTAATTCCGTTCTGAAGATCCACCTCCGTTCTCTCTTGCGGATGAGACGTTTCCAGCATCACTCCACTGTATCTGACCATTCATATGTGTAGCCCATGTGTGTGTGTCCACATCCTGCAGCCCCCCCCCCCCCCACTCCACTCATTTACACACTCACTCACTCACTGACTCACTCACTCACTACAGGCCCATGCAGGCTACAGCTGTGGTGCCAGAGAAAACAAGCAGCGTAGACCAGGTCCACCTCTAGTTTTTTTTACAGATTCCCACAGTGAGAGAGATCGGCCAGGTGTAACTTTGCTCAGGAAGGGAGGAAGAAGAGGATGTGATGGGAAGGATGAAAGGGGCGTGTCACCCTTGCATGCTCCATCATCATCATCATCATCGTCAGCGGCATCACACTCCACTCCGATTCCTCATCTGCACCTGTCTCCCTTAATGTCACCGCATGTCATTCACGCCGGCGGCCCGAGTCGAGCCGGCGAGGCCTCGGACTTTTTCCCCGGGATGTTTCATTTTTACGGATGCAGCAGTTAAAATTCCCCCCTCACCGAAGGCCCCGGCTTTGAGGGTGTAGTGGAAGTAGAACCCTCCCTGTTGGCTTTTATCTGTGCAGCATCCAATCTCAACAGCTGCTGTCTTCAGCTCCTGGGGTGCGGTTGAGCGTTTTTCTCAGCCGTATGCGCTGTATGTAGGCCAGTGCTCTTGCAGAACAGTAATCGCACAGGCTGTTATTGAACCAGTAGGCCTATAACAGGGTGTGTGTGTGTGTGTGGTGGGGGGGGCTATGTGTGTAATGTAATTTTGCATCAGGAGACTTATATCCACGGTGTGCATCCTCCTCCATACATGCATGCAGAGCGGCCTCCTACAGATTTTATTTGTCACCCCCGAATCCGTTGCAGAAACGGACCCACATCCGGCCGCCCCCGCTTCCTTCTAGGACCCAGAGAACGCATCAAGTCGATGCCTTTCCCCGCGTGTTCTGCATTGGAGCGGCACGCACAGACGAGGCAGATAGAAAGATGTAGACCAAACTCACCTTAAGCGAGATGCTCCTCGAGCATTTTTACGTGCCTGTTCTATTTTAAGCCCCTGTGTGTGCCGGACTGATAGCCCGGCGCTGGAAACGGAAGATCGATTCATTGAATCTAAAAGAAGGAAATGTCCAACACATGAGCTCCGGCTCTAAGTGGCTATGCATCATTTTCAGTAGAGAGGCCGTGGATCCACTCGTATCGCACTGTAGCGGCTGCAAAATAAAAGGCAGGCTGTCATCACATGCATGTCTTAACCTATATTGGCTTCTGTGCCGTCCCCCGTCCCCCTGTCCCCCCTCATCACTGTTTGGATGGAGATTGCCACAGCAAAGCGGTGTGCGTGCGCGTGTCTTTACGCTCTCCACTGTACTAGTTGACTAATACATGCATGGTGAGTGTACTAGCAGTAGGGCCGTGTGGGTTGTAATGCAGAGAGGCCCTTTAATGTCAGTATTATCTTTACTCTCTGGAATGAATTATATATCCGTTGCAAAAGCTAAAGTATGTTTGTGCGTCTGTTGCTTGCATCTGTTGTTTCTCTCGACTAGATGAGCAAGATGTGCTACTTATTGTAGGGTGCATTGCGATGCATTGTGCTTTTTTAAGCTGATCTACATGAAATGCAAACTCCAGAGAGCTGGGAAACATCTCAGAAAATCTAACAAAACAAGCTAAAGTCAGGCTTTTACTTATATTCAAGAGTTGAATCTCTCTAAAAAAATAAACCGGACCTTTAAGGACCCTAAGGGTGTTTTAGCCCCTTAACTGTTGCGGATGCATTGATCCAAATTTTCCCTCCTGATACTGTTTTTGATACTTCAGTGTAGGGAATCTAACAATACAGTAGGGGTGTAAGAAAATATTGACACACTTGCATGATTATGTTTCGTGATACCATATCGATTCTCAAAAACAACATTGATTTTTCATGCAAATATTTGTGGTAGATAGTGGCTGAGATTGTACAAAAATTAGTGCTGTTATGTTGGATGTTATGGGGATAAATGCAGATCCCACTGCTCAGATTAGATATTTCAAAAAGTTTTCTCTGTTGGTGTGTTCTATATAGTGTGACAGTTTTCCAAAAATCTCATTTAAAAAATCACGATATATCGCCTTGCTTACAGTATCGCAATATATTGAATTGTAATCCCTGTATCATGATTATATCGTATCACCAGATTTTGAATCCAATACCAGTGCTTGTCTTTTTCCCTAAATTACATGACATGCATGTGTGGAACAGATTCAGATCATATTTATGTGATGTATCATGAGGCCAGGGATAGGAAATTGAAGCACTGACTTTTTACAATAACATTACCAAAACAAATTGTATGTGAATCTGCATAATAAGGTCAGTTTTGGTTCTGATAGCGGTCCAAATCACATAGATTTTACATCATAGCTAACCATGCTAACCATTACTATGCTGCGGTACTTTAGAAATTTGAGTGCCTTTTTCCTACATTTTCAGACACCCCTTGGCTTCCATTAATTTTCCCACAGTATGAAAATCTATTAGCAAACTCTTCCCGGAATATGTGTAATCTATCACAATGAAGGCATTTATTTTTGTCTCAGTGACGTTATCCTCATGAGCTAATACTATTCAAATCAATCTGCATTTCAAGTGAATGGAAACCAATGGACGCCTGGAACGATGATTAGAAATCAAAAAACGCGTGGGATTAATTTGAAAATGTCAGAAAAATGCAGACTACACAAAATAAAAGCTACTTGTATGGTCCCTTTTAATCTTGTATTCAGACAACAAACTCCAGTAATAATCTAAACCTAAACTACTTTAAAAATTACATCACTTCAGGAAAAAGTAGCATAACTGTACTAAGTCCCTTTTGCAAGTAACGCAGTGTCCTTTACGGTTTAATCCAAGGACATCACATCTACCTCAATCGCTAACTTGCGTGGTTAGAATCCATGAGGAACAAAGAGATATCAGCTTTTCCTAATGTGCAGAAAGTGTCTCTTAGAGAGAGGGGCACCGACAGTGTTGACGATAAGTAAGACATGTCTGTTTTCGACAGCGTGGGCGTTGGCGGGGATTTCTCTCTTGAGTTCCCTGTGTGATCTGACTGATCAGAGCTCATGTTTATGGATGAGATGGTTTCCAATCGCACAGCAAATGTGTCAGTGGACGTATCAAAAGCACGCCATTGTTGTCTAAGGCCTGTCTTTGACGCCTAAGGGTACCTGTGACACCACAGTGAGAGTCTAAAAGAGCAGTTCAGTTCGTATTCAGAGCATTTGCTCTTTTGGTTTGGCCCGTTTGGTTGAGCGAGTAGAATGTCTTTCAAACTCAGGTGATGCAAAATAGCTGTACTGAGCCTCTATGCTTTTAAATCATAACATGCTACAATTCATTAGGAGTGAGAACATAATCAGAGCCAACTATAGAGCCTTAATACACATGGTTTTATGAAGAGAAGAAGGTGAATATTGACATTTGAAAGCTAGCAGTTACTCATAGGAAAGCCGATGAACATAAGAGAGGCAGAAAGTCAGAGCGTCATACTGTCCAAAAACAAATCTACAGAAACGTTAGAGTCTTTGACATTTTCCTAACTATGTGTGTTGCAGAGAAGAGAAGCCTATCCAAGCAAGAACGGTGAACCTGGTTGGGCAGAAGAAACCGCAGCAAAATGACGTCCGGTGAGTGGCAACAGTCATTTTTGTCACCCACCAACTCTGTATCACCTCGTCGATATGGAATTGAAAGAGGACATATCATACTCATTTTCAGGTTCATACATGTATTTGGAGTTTCTACTATAACATGTTTACATGCTTTCAGGTTCAAATAGTCTTTACTTTTCTCATACTGTCTGTCTGAATATTGTAATCACCCTCTGTCTGAAACGCTTCTTTTAAGCGCCTGTCTCTTTAAGCACCCCTCCCGAAAAAACCTAGACTGCTGTGATTGACTTGCGAGGAAAATATGGTGCGCTGGTTCCATATACTGTATATAAGAAGTGGACGTAGTCATCGTGACGTCACCCATTGGTTTGTAGACTGCTGTTTTGAAGCCTCGAGTTTGTCGATTTCATCATTAGCCAATGTACAGAAGTGACCATATTTGGAATGCGGAGGAGTGACACAGAGACACCGTATACGTCTCTGGTAGCAGCAGCGACCTGTCAATCACAGTAAGCCTGCCCTAAAGCATACTATGCTTTATAGTCTATTTGACTCTAAATGGACCATCATTTACGAAGTGAACATTATGCTGTATTGAAGAACACTTGTAAACATGAGATCATAAACTCAAGTAGGTTAATTTTCTCATAGACTTCTATACAATCAGACTTATTTTTGCAACCAGAGGAGTCGCCCCCTGCTGGTCAGTAGAGAGAATACAGGTTTTAAGACACTTCCGCATAGGTTTCACTTGGCAGAACCGGAGGTTGCCGCCTGGCTGGTTCCAATGAGCCTGCATGTGACATAGGAAGCCAGATCTGAATGGCTTGCCGAATCAAATGCTTTCTGATCTAGGCTGCTCCACAAACAACTGACTGGATTTCCTTATTTCACATTTTGCAGATTGGTAGGCACCTCAGATACCCAAATGCGTGTGCACAAGCACTGTATAACTGATATGTCCCGAAGTGGCCCAAAACAACCTCCAATCAAAAGCTGGCAGTCTCTTCCTTGCCTCACATTCATGCTATTGTTGTGAAATTTATTTCACATCTTGGATGAGTCAACAGTATAATAGATAAACTCATGCTCTGGTTACCTATCTTTCGCAAGCATGACTCAAGCCATTATTATGGAATTTGTGTGGTACTCTTAAATTGAACACCCCATTTATAATTTTTCTGATTTATATTTAGGGAATATGCCTCAGTTTGTGTCGCTGAAAAAATATTTAATCAAAGCCACACACTTCTTTACCCTCGGAGTGAGTTAATATCCTGTTAAACACACACACACAAGCCCAGTTGCTGTCCATCATTTAATAGACAGAAACTACATCCCTTCCGCTGTAAAGACGGACGTGGCCAGCGTGGTAAGTCCTGTCCAGATCCTGTTGAGTCATTAGAGATCAGCTAATGTTGTCGTCCTCCTCCGTAGAATTGGCTCAGGCTGGATTCAGATGCTCTGGGTGTCTCACGGTTTGCTCAGCTCTCCTACCAAGCTGCTTGTCTGGAGGAATGACTTTCCATCATGTGCGCTTTGGAAAACAGTTGAACAATGCGTGACATTGTGATATTGTGATATTTGATAAGATTGAATAATATACAAAATAAGTAACCAGTTCAATTTTCCCATAGTAAAGCCCCCAAAACAACTGTGGCAGGAGAGCTTACCACACACTAGCCGGCTACACTAGCTGCTACTGCTCTCCAAGCTAGCTAACTGGCTGCTACTTTATACCTCAATTGGTCGCTAACAGGACAACACAGCTTATTCGAGAGACTGTTTGTACCATGGACTGCTGTCACTTATTAAAAAGATATTGTGTAAAATAAGTGTTTGCATAAATATTCACCCCCTTTAAAGTGACTGACCTAATTCAACAGAAGTCCAGCTAGTTGATGCCAGCAGTGTCACAAGTAGTGAAATGGAGATGACCTGAGTGCAGTTGATGTGTGTCAAGTAATTGTAGTATAAACACACCTGTGTTTGGAGGTCCAGTCTCAGGTTCATCAGTATTCCTGCTACAATTGCAACATGAAGACAAAAGAACACTCCAAGCAACTCAGAGAAAAGATCATTGAGAAGTACAAGTCAGGAGATGGCTACAAACATATTTCCAACTCACTGGACATCCCACAGAGTTCAGTTCAGTCCATCATTAAGAAATGGAAGGAGTATGGCACTTGTTTAAATCTGCCCAGAGCTGGCGGTCCTCACAAACTGAGTGACCGGGCAAGAAGAGGACTGATGATGGAGGCCACCAAGACACCTAGGACCACTCTGAAGGAGTTCAAAGCTGCAGTGGCTCAGATGGGAGAGACTGTACATACAGCAACAATTGCCCGGGTTCTTCACCAGTCGAAGCTGTATGGGAGAGTGGCAAAGAGAAAGACTCTGTAGAAAGAATTCACCCAAAGGCATGTGGGAGACTCCAATGTCAACTGGAAGAAGGTTCTTTGGTCTGATGAGACAAAAATTTTGCTTTTTGGCCATCAGACTAGACGCTATGTTTGGTGAACACCAACCACTGCACATCACCACAAACACACCATCTCCACCGTGAAGCATGGTGGTGGCAGCATCATGCTCTGGGGATGCTTCTCAGCAGCAGGCCCTGGAAGGCTTGTAAAGGTAGAGGGGAACATGAATGCAGAAAGATATCGCCAAATCCTGGAGGATAATCTGACTCAGTCTGCAAGAGAACTACGACTTGGGAGAAGATTTATTCTCCAGCAAGACAACGACCCGAAGCATACAGCAAAACATACACAGAATGGTTCAAAGACCACAAGGTGAATGTTCTGGAGTGGCCAAGTCAAAGCCCAGACCTCAATCCAATCCAGAATTTGTGTCTGGACTTGAAAAGAGCTGTTCACGCCCGATCACTGAGCAACCTGACAGAGCTTGAGCTGTTTTGAAGAAGAATGGAGAAAAATCTTAGTGTCCAGATGTGCCAGCCTGAGTGAGACATATCCACACACACACATACACACACTCAGTGCTGTGATTGCAGCCAAAGGTGCATCTACTAAATACTGACCTGAAGGGGTGAATACTTGTGCAATCATTTAATTTACCTTATATATTTTTAATTAATTGACATTATTTTGTAAAAATCTGTTTTCACTTTGATATTAAAGAGGTTTCTTTTGCAAATTCTTGTCAAAAAAAGCCAAATTATACTGACCATGATTTCATGTATAAAAGCAACAAAAGGATGAAACATCCAAGGGGGGTGAATACATATGCAAGACACTGTATATATATATATTAACTCGTAAACTTTACACAACTTACTAGGAATGCTGCTTTCACATTTTGACCCGCCTGACAATATATGTGTATTCGTGGCACGTGGCAGACTCGTATTGTGCCACGAGTCTGCACAAAGTAAATACTACCATGCAGCACCACGTGTGTAAATATGACCTGCAAAAAAAAACAAATATATGAGAATGATCGATCGGTGCATCTGCGTTTGTTACCAATATTGACAGCAAAACGATCAGAATGCGATCATTCTTCGAAACCTGTCACACTTGCAACACATTTATAGCCGTCGCTACTGAGATTCATGGGTACTGTAGTATTTCATGCTATTTCACATACAGAAAAAAATTAAATTCCTCAGGAACAAAGTCGAAATATTTATTCCAAACATTTATTCCTCTTGATATTATCGAGGAAACCCCCGTGAGTTTAAAGTACATTTTCATATGCAAATCTGCATTGGGAAATATAGTCAGTGGTGCCAACCTTTCTACTTCTATATTCCTCTAGACTTGCAAAACCGTGGAGTGCTTCCATTTCTTTGCAAGCTTGCCAACTAACGTCATACCGAGAATGCAGGTGGTCAGAGGTTAGCTTTCACTGAAACATCGCCTCCCATCTCGTCTCCAATTAGTGGGGATTAGATGCTTGATGGGCTGGTCAGGAGCCATTCTTCATAAGCTCATTCTTCTAGGCTCAATGATCGTCTTCCCTTTACCGCTGTGTGTGTGTGTGTCTGGTTATTTGATCACTGGTTGTTAATACGGACTTGAATTGCAAATGATATTTGAAACACTCCTTGATATCATATGAACGTCCCCGCTGAATTGGTTGCGCGTTGAAATGCGAGGTTCCACCCGTTTCTGTTTGCTGTGACCTCTGCAGCTAGTAGTGTCTTTTTTTTCTTCTTTTTTTCTGCCGCACAATGATCAAAGGATAAAGCTTGTTTATGTTCTCTCTGTGTGCACTCTATGTGTGTGTTGGAGTGTGTGTGTGTGTGTGTGTGTTGTTGGATCAGAGAGGGAGGTGGGATTACAGAGTAAATCAGCTGGAGCACATCTGCTTCTCTGAGGAATCCCACAATATGGCCCCCTGTTTATAACATTATACAATTTGTGCCTCTCCGGTCAGAGTTCCCTCACATTATTCACCAGACGTTACAGTCAGTAATCCTGCAGTAGTCCTTCTGCAGGGGCTATTGAGGTGGGACTGAAATAACATTATGTCTATAAAGTGATTTTATAAACCAGGAGGACTGTTCCTGAGCTCCTAGAGGCACATTCATGATGTCGGGCTTTATGAATACAATTGGCTTGACTTGACTCTGTTAAAGGAGCAGTGTGCAAGATTTAGTAGCATCTAGCGGTGAAGTTGCAGATTGCAACCAACTGAATACCCCTCAGCTTACCCCTCCCTTTTGAAACGTGTAGGAGAACCTATGGTGGTCTTTAGGTGATGTAAAAATGCAAAATGCTCTCTCTAAAGCCAGCGTTTGGTTTGTCCGTTCTGGGCTACCGTAGGAATGTGGCGGTGCAACATGGCGGATTCCGACCTCCCGCCCACCTGTTGGCTTTTAAAAAAAACATTTGTATTTCATGTCTGAGTAATAAAGATAATGCACAATAATGAAAATAAACTGACATTGCAATATTTTATTTTCTGCAATATATATTGCAATATGAAACAATACAGGAGACTGCTTTTTAAAGTTAAATGCACCAATCTTTGAAAACAAAATTAAGAGGCAAGATGAACAACTTCTTGCTCTAGTAAACAATTTCATAATAACACATTCTTTTAATAGAAGTGAATGGCAATGGCACGGTAAAAAAAATCACACCCACAATCATGGTTAACGACCCTGGATCCGTGTTTCCAAACGGGTCTGTGGGTTTGCCGACACAGGAAAACCATAGGCCCATAGACATAGGGCCCTCGCACTGAGTACAGTCCGCCACGGTTGATAGTTGCGCCAGGAGACCCGTCCATCAGTTAAAACTACAGTGTTTTGGACGACTCAGATATTCAGCTGCATTTACTCAAGCTAGAGTACACGGCTGAAGAGATGCAGGGGAGAGAGGCGGAGGCTGCATTAGCCGTGCAAGAGAATATGGCCGACGGGGGCCCCCCCCCCCGGCGTCAGAAGCTAGCTCGTGTGAGGAATTTAAGTTTTAAAGCGCTCCTAGCGCTGGATATTATGTGTTACAATA